TACAGTCCAGGCTTTCTTGCCTCGTTCTAATTGAGTGTTTTTCCTCGCACGTTTAAGGCCAAAGCCTTGAAGGGAGAGAGAAAGCAGGGAGATGTTTTGATGTAGATTTCCTTTCTTAGGGCAGGGGCGAGATCACTATTCTGGGGCTGATACAGGCTGGCATGTTTACTTCTCCGCTTCAGAACACTTCTTACAATCCATCTTTCCCAATTGGCCTGTCTGTCTGTCACGGAGCACTGTGCTGGAAGTTGGCAGGCAGTGCAATGCCCTTCCTGTCACTATGCGAGTCCTGCAAGTAGGACCCATAGGGAACAGTGCTGGAGCACCGCAGTCCTTTCACTTCTCATTCTCCACACAGACCCTACCCCGGTTAGGGATTTCAGACTTCACCCAACAGCTGGAAGTGTACAGATGAGTGAAGGAGGCTGACCTCTGACCCCTCTTCAAAAGCTCAGTGGATGTAAACAAATTGGCACCACACCCAATAATGGAGGTGCAATCCCAGAAGCCTGCACTTTCTGGTTCATGATTGTGCATTCCTTGCTTTCTGCAAAAGATCTTTATGCTCTACCAGAGAGATTTTAACATGCAGCACAGGAAATTATGGAACCAGGAAAAGTGGGTACACAATGCATACAATGCAATAAATTAATAGCTTTTGTGTGAGAATGAAATACAGCATCAGACTAACAAGCCACTCTATCACAGTCAGTCAGGCAGGCAGCCTATCACACCCCAACAAAGCCTCTATACATCTAGAAAATGATACTAATGTGGAGTGTTAAATATGTAGTGAACAGCATGGCTTTTAGGAAGGAGCTCTCCAGGATTTATTTAACAAAAACAACTCCTTTCAAAACACTGCAGTCCAGTTCACCCTGTGCTGTGTGTATGACTGGTGGAGTTTGTGGTACTCGGTTGTCAATTGCTTGTTGCCGATAGAGGAGTCTGTAGAAGAAAACCCAACCCATCTAGTGACTCGCTTCATATTCAGAGGAACATTTGCTATGAAATCCAGTGGAGGTCATGCTGCTTGGCCAGGAAATAAAGGATTTGTTTTTGACTGGGATTCTGGACAGCATGAAGATTTTGAGCACTAGACAAGACAGGATGTCTTCTGTGGCAGCGGTTATAAAAACAGAAGGCAGCACCACAGTTCATTGGGAGAGACAGATCAGCAATGCCATGTTGCTGGCTGCCTTTCATCAACAGTGAAACAAGAACTAGAGTGAAAACTACTGTATGCGGAAATGCATTTAAAACCAAGAATGCAAACACTTTACCCAGAAGGTTGTGGGTGTCTGGAACACACTGCCAAACCAAGTGGTTGGATGACATTCTCAAATCAATTAGCTACTAACTACCAAACCAGCTAAATGGCCTCCTCTCATATGTAACCTGTATTATGCTAATTCAGGCACCAGGAACATGAAATTGAGAGCAAAGACAAAGGAAGGTCCAGTATCTGTGTAACTTTATTGTAGATAAAAGATCTGATATTCCACTTTCGTCACTGTAGAGCAGAAGCAATTTGAATAATACTAAAACATTTACAAACTCTTGTAGTTATGCATTCAGTGTACAGTTGACATTCAAAATTCACAGTTCATCAATTTCAGTACCGTGTTTATACATTTAAGTAAACACAAAAAGGATTAAAAAGCTAACGCCAGTGTTTTCTCTTAATATGAATACTTGGTTCAGCACTCTTCAACCACAGGTTCAGGCTGCGCTGCTTAAAAGCGATGCTTCATTTCCAACACGCAGACCTGCTTTATGGTCAGATTATACACCCAAAGCAAAATTACACAAATTCCTTATCTTTACAAAGTGCATCTCAAATCAGTTTTTCTACCTTTTTGGCCCTTTAATCAATTTTAAGACTGAAGTACAAAAAGCATTAAAAACTGTACCAATGGCCAATGAGACGTGGGCAAATTCTGTTATGCAATAGCTATGTAATGAAAGAAACCTGTGATAAGCGACACCTTAATGCAAATATGCATGTCTGAGTTTGTAAAAGTGTAACTGACAAAACAAAAAGCAGTTGTTGGTTTAAGTGAGTGTTGCCATACTGCTCGCAGCTTCCTATATTATATTGTCTGCTTTTTGTCACATTTCACTCTGCCTGTGTAACAAGAGATGACAACACAGGAATGCAACACATCACAGTACTATTAAAATGCGTGGCCTGGCCTCGTGCAAAGCCCATGCAATCTAATTTTTCATGTTTAAAAAAAACCTCAAAAGTGAAGCCTTTGTAATTGCATCAAAAAGTTTCCTAAAACTTCCCAAATTTCACAGGCAGCAAGGATATGGTGGGGGGCAAATATTAATTCTGCACCACACCTTTTTGATCAGTCATTCAGAAGTACGATCCTGTCCCTCCCACCTAAACAGCTCCGCTACAGAGATAGAGTAACAGTACTCCAGAAACAAGCAGATGCTCACCCTCACAAAAAATATTTAGGTAAAACTGCATACAATCTGCCTAAGCTGCAAGGCAGCAGATTTTCACAATGGATCCCATATGAGCCACGTATGAACTGTGGTGGAGGCGTCTGCAGTCATTCAGATTTAATAATCCTACAGCTGAGGTTACTGTAATGTGCTTCTCATTTGAATCCCAATTGAGGCTTCCTGTAACTTATTTCCTCAGGGTATAAGCAGGCCCTGCTTAGCCATTGCTGTGGAAGATGACACTTGAGGGTTACTCTTAGCAGCAACCGGCTGGTTTGCAGAAAACCACCTGCACACACAACAGAGCCCTGCCACATTAAAATAAGTGACCTCAACATGCAGACAAAACACAACATGGAGCAGAGACATGCATCTGGTGTAGGTTGGCCTTTTACACGATCCTGAACCACACAGAAGCAGTCTAATATTTATACCAGAGCTATGGGGCCACTATTGCTCAGAGCTCAGTTTAGATAAAGCCTCCAGCAGAAAAAAAGAAAGAAGCCATTCATGCTTAAAGTACTTCATGCAGAATCCCTACTCTTTTTATATTTGGTCATCAGTAAATATTTATATATTTAGTATAAAATATAGTATATATTTTGTCCCCCCCACATCATGACTGGAACAAACTAAAATGTGTTAAAACATTTTAGGACAGAACATTACTGTCTTACAAGGAGAATTTTGGTAAAAGCAGCACGTAACCTTTTTTCATGTCCCGAAGAAACATTATTTCTAAGTTTTTCATGGCATCTTCTCAAAATAGTCAACATTGTTTAAAGGGCTAAAAAAGTAGGCATTGCAGCAAGCTCTTTCAATTTGCTGTGCATCACAGCAAAATTTGTAGAGCTGAGGTGAAACAGCAGTCTAGTTCTGTAAATGTCAATACATACAAAATTATATACATTTTCTATCAAGTAGTAGTAGTACTTAAAAAATGAACCATTCCCTCTTTTGAGCAGCATTAAAGCTAAGAGTCCAAAATAAACAAAAAACATCCCAAAAAGGCCACCATTTTGGTTGCAGAAGGGGGAATTTATGTAGTGGTTTAAGTTAAAAAATGAAATACCTCATCATGCCCTGCACAGACCCTAATTTTCCTTTACAAATTCTCAACAACAACAAAGGGGAACATGAATGATGCAAAAGCTCTGGGTTTCCCCTCAAGACATGATGGAAAAATGGCCCTAGAGAACCCATAGCAAACGTCTAGGAAAATGCCAATGGGAACCACTTTATCCCCCACTCAACCCCTTGAGTCTGTGACTGAGGGCTAGTCCCGGACACGTATTACAAATCGCATCTAGAGGTTTTACAGAAAACTGCAACATGCTTCCTTTGTTGAACCAGAGTTTGTTATACAAAATATTTTTAGGTCCCTCGGGGTGTCTGCTTTCTTTCTTGGTTTCTCACGTGACAAAAGGTCTTCCAATATCAACAAAAAAAAAGTTTATGTGCAACCTAAAACAACAGCATTTTAGACAAGACCTTAAATACCGGCCACTTCCCCACTTCCTTTAGTAAAGTGGCCACACCTCGTAGCAAAATATTGGCTGTACATTCACATGTAACAATACATGTTATTCAATTGACTGTTTTAAATAATAACATAGCTTACATAAATAGAGAAACAATGTTTTTTTTTAAAAAACTCTCAAACTGTAAATAGAACTTTATAAAATCCAAGCATGTAAACTACAAATGTTTAGGAGTACTTCATATGATCGATAGGCAATTGATTTTAGCTTTTATTTGAACATATTGATCTTCAGATTTCTCTGGCACATTTTCTGGAGTGAGGATGAGGGAATGGATACATATGATACTAGTGGTCTTTGAGAAACAGTTACCTGCCCTTGGGGAAAAAGTGCCTGTGGTTGTACAGAAGTATAGATTGCAATTCGCAATGCACTACGATCATATGATGCTCCTTTTTCAATAGCCTGAGTGACTGGATTAGGCTACACATTTTACATTCACACTAATGCGCACAAAGCAATACAAGCTGTACAAAAACGCAAATACAGGAGAGTCGAGGAAAAAGCAAAGGAAGCCTGTCAGACCTGTTGCTCTTCCAGGACACCAAACGGAGGCTCAGAAAAGAGGAGCCAAGACTGTTCTTTAGACTTTAAACTTACGCACTTAAAAGATCTTGAAACATTCTCAGAACCAAGGTCCTGTTAAGTGAGAGATGTCACTTTCCAACAGGAACTCTTAAGTCAACAGTATTTACACGAGATATGATTTGTCAGTCACCAGAATTACCTACTTCCATGAAAGCTTTGGACACGGTTTTCAAAATAATTCAAATGGGTTTTGTGGAAACCCTGGATAAAATGAGATCTCATTAACTGGAAGGAAAGACCAGATTCATGGCCTCCATTATGCTTTTTGCTGTGTTTATGTCAGCATATATATGGTGGATCCGCAGGGCCCATTTATGTTGAGTGTCCATACCAACGAAAATCCTCACTGGCCCAGCCTCTTTCACTCTGCCTGGGTATATTTCCAACTCCAAGGCCTACAACGTACACAAGAGAATGATCAAATTATTGAGGAAAATAGCTATATGCATGTCATAGCATCTACAAAATACAATTCAAAAGTGTCAAAAGACACATTATCGACACATTATTTTATGGAACAAATTCAATTTTCACACCATTTCCCTCATTTAATTCTCAATCCTGCATCTTGAAAATTGCATAATCAATAAAATGTTGACACATTGAATGCAGAATGAAAGCGTATTTCACAGCTGGTCAACTGTGTCAATTGTCATTCTATGGCTCTTGTATAAATACCCATGCATTTATACTGTACATTTCAATTTCCCCCAGAAGATTGACATGCATTAGAGGACAGATCATGATCAAATCTTTAGGGGAATACAAAACATAACAGACCACTTCTACACTGTTTAATCTAAAAAGTTAAAAGCTTAAAAACCTGATAACTGTCCACCTGCCAAGCCTTTAGGTAACGGTATGAATTCTTTATTCCGTTTAAAACCTACAGGACACTTAAGATATGCTTACAAGCCTACATTTTAAGCTTAGATACAGCAGAGTTTTTTCTATATTTAGAATATTAAAACTAATCTTAAGTACCTTTTAAAAACTCAAATCCATTATGTTTCAGTCACATACTGGACACCACAAAAATACCTGTAAAAGTCTGACCATGCAACTAAGTCATGGTCTTGTTTTCCACATGTACCTGCTGGAGGATCACACAGCCTGTTTCAGCAAAGCTCCCCGGTGTAATGATTGCACATAGGACAGAGCGCTCTGCATGGAGGTTAGACAGTAGCCTTCTTCTCCAATCAGATACCTAGAGAACAGAACAAAGGGAGAGTGGCAGCAGAGTTCACAAGTGTTTTGTCACGGTTTATTCTAGGTGGATGTATTGCAATGGTAAAGTGCTATAGAAATTTTCATACAGAGTTTTCATACTAACGTCATCCAAATGTTTATCCTAGATTCTGTAGCATTACGTGTGCTCAGAGTATGACGTGTCCCCTTGATGGGATGCTGGTCCAACGCAAGGAAACCCCTAGCAATGGAGACATACATTTGGGTAGACTGGAGGAACTGGTGTGAAGGATCTTACTCAATAACACAACAGCAGTGTCTGCACGGAGGCCTCGACCACACAGCTTTCCTGTCATGAGTTCAGAGCTCTACCCAGTACCCTACATTGCTGCTGTCAATCCAAATGGTTTTGAGAAAACTTGACCTACACTACAGAACACAAAATAGGAAAAAGGACAAATCAAAGTAGAATTAGGAACAGGAGCTAGCTTTAGAGTGTCACTACTACTGATTTACAGCACAATTAATTTTCAAAATTGATCTTATAGTGAAATGCACCCTGAATTAGCAAACCCTATTATTGTTAGCAATATGACAATGTTTCACTACAGACCAACACAAAACCAAAAGAACTCAGAAAAAAAGAACTGCAACTTTTTGCATTATAGTTACAACTTGTGTCCACCGGAGAACTCAGATGCTCCTTGCCTATAAGTGACCAGCCAGCCTCAGTGCTCCTTTTCATTAGGTAATGAAATGACACCTAATGACACCTTAAGTCAATGTTACCTAGCCCAGTCCCAGAGAGATAGTTTGACCAACTGCGTAAAGTGAAGTTAAATTTCACCTTAGCTTTCAAGGTTTCTTTGGATTTCTGAATGTTGCACAAAGAAGCCCAACACTGAAGTCCACATCACAGATAAAGGAAACTGTATCAATGCTTCAATGTTTATTGAAACCAGGACTTTGATATTATGCACTCTCATAGGGTCTCAGCCAGTAAGAAAATGGAAATGGAGAAAATGGAGTGTATACAATGAAGCCTTCCTACAGGGGAAGTCTGTGTTGCTAGCATTGTTTGAAGAAAGTCACAAGCACATCCAAAACAGAGAGAATTATGATGAAAAGCAAAATACAGATGTCTTAACTAAACCAATTTGGAGCACACTGTTCTCATATATGTAACCACCCTTATAACCAAAAAGGGAAGAAAAGTGGTTCATTATATAAAAAAAAATCAAAAGCACAACAATTTAAATAAAAATAATTGCAACCAAGTGCTGAAATACTTATCAAACCATGTTTGGGTTTCTGCTACCAAGACCAAGAAGGAGACAAAACCACTCAAAAATGTTTCATCAAACTTACTCAATACTGTATTAAAATCTTGCATGTCAGCAAGCTGTTAATCCAAAGCCAAACTCCTGTGGAAATAAGGCAATGCACACACAGGCCACAGAGCAATCATCTTGCACACAGATGCATCAGATATCAAGTTAGATTCCTGATCTACTTCATTCTTCCAAATGCTTCCCAAATATCCCTGGGGCATTAACACCTTTGAAAATAATTTGATTACTTTCATTTTCAGTATCAGGTGAATTAAATATGCCTCAACTTTCCTTAAACAGATCATTACTAAGCGTTTTGTTATATATTTTCCCCTGCACTTTTCAAATCATGCGAGGGACAATTTAGAGTCCTGGACACAGCTGGCCACATGTGACAAACCCAGATCTCCAAGCTGCAGGAGGTGTTCAAGAGTGCGCCAGGATTTTGCAAGACCTCAGCATGAAATCCCATGGCTTGGGGTGCCACAGCAACTCCTCACTAACCCAGCACTACCAGAACTGAGTGGCACCAGTGGTCATGGGCTCCACCTCCAACCAAAACTTTGTTTCCACAGTTCCTACTTCGGTGTACCACTCCATGTAATCTGGTAGATCAGAGTCGGGGTGCACCCAGACAGAATTTAATAACTGGCCATACAAACTGGTGCATGTAAAAATTAGAGCAGGCAAACGTTTGTCAGAAGACATCAGCAGTTTTCTCAGAGCAGTCGTTGTTGAATGTTTTGCTTGTTTATCCTTTTGAAAGACCTGCTGTTGAACATTCTTTAGGGAATCACGTGTGGACTTAATACAATAGACATGCTTTATCTAAATTGTACCAACCACATTTGGTGAAATCCAGTGAATGGGGCTACAACAATGGTGACTGAATTTTATTTTGTTCTTAAAAAAAAAAAGATCTACTTTCTCCCAGAACAATTTCAAAAGAAAAAATCAATTTAAGTCACAAAATAGCCTTTAGATTATTCAAATGTGCAGAATGCAATAAAAACCAAACGGGTTATATCGTGTGACAAGACAAGGGATGCCAGCACAAACTCCTCTCCAGAGCCCTCCGAGAAAACAGAAAAGAAAAGCTGAGGGTATCGTGACAGCAGACTGCGCGACTCTGAATTAAAAACTGCTGTTAACTCTGAGTGACCTCCAGCTAATTAGTTCAAGACACGAGAAGAGGCTGCAGTCTGCCAAAGCTGTTGGAAAGAGCTTCCTCCCCTTAAGCCTCTTCCTTGGCTGCCGGAGACGGAGTTTGCGCATGTACTCGTCCCGCCCGACTCTGGCTCTTGGGCGCGTTTTTGCACCAGGGGTCTTGTGGGTTCAGGCTGGGGCGTCTGGAGGACTGCACTCCAGATGGTAGCCTGCGCCCTGTGCCATGGCCACCCCCCCTCTCTCTGCACCAGCCTCACCCACCTTGTCATTTCCTGGCACGCAAACTGCTCCAGCTCCTCTGCTCAAGCTAGGGGGCTCTTGCTGCAGTGACAAAGCACTCAAACCTAGGACTAACAAACATGCTTTCCCTATCCAAAGAAAGCTATGCCCTGAGGCTGTCGTCAAATGTCATGCTTGGTGACATGGCTTTAAAAAAGTCACCATCTAAAGCTTATGTTTAGAGTGCATAACCTGAAACAAGACACTAGCGGCTACATAATTTTCTTTTTGAAGCTTAAATTCCCTGTCCTGACAGCTTTTCTGTACATGCCAGATGGAAAAAGAGACTCCCTTTTTTAAACAGCTGAAACAAGGTGTGATGTTTTATGCCACAACCTTGATTTGCAAAGTTTTTAACTGGCATCTGGTAAACTTTTCTTAAAGACGAGGCAGTCAGACAGTTCCCTGATCCATCTACTGTTGAAACCAAGAAAGCACATGGAAATGTAGCAGAACTCAAATTTTCATTATATATAGTAACATTTATAGCTCTTAACTAGGCTAAAATGATGTTAAAATATGGGAAAAAAACACATCAAGCTTTTTTTCTATGCTAACCACAATGTGAAATGAAATTGTGTTACTGACAATTTAATAAAAGTGTTGTGTAGACACACCCATTGAATCTGCTCTGCCTAAACCGAACATAAATCTCATCCTGCCTTCTGAATTTAAAAGGCTTTAGCAGGAAATAGTGGATATATTGTCATGATTTATCCCATCAAAGCTACATATAAAATGATCTACATTATGTCACAAAGAATTGGAATTACACATTCGGGTCATGCTTCTCAAACATTTTCCAGAAGACTGTACATCACAGACATATAAAATGAGGAAACGTATAACACTTCCAATGCATGAGACAGGCTGAAGGAACCGTGGCTTTTTAACCTTGAACAGAAGATTAAGACGAGGCTTAACAAGTATTCAAAATCCTCACACACTTCGACAAATCAGCTTAGTGGATGTGGAAATACCCTGAAACTAGAGAACAGCAGGTGAAATTCCCTTACGCAGACAACTGCAAGAGGGTGGAACAATCCACCCAGCCATGTTGTTGAAGCAGACACTCTGGCTTCTTTCAGAAACATCTGGATGAGTTCCCTGGATCAGGCGAGTACCCTGGATCCATTAACAACCAAACGAGCTAGATGGAACAACTTACCTCCTCTCCTTGTTACTGTTCTAACAAAGAATTGTAGGAGTTCGGGAAAAAATATCCTAACCAAGTGGGTGTTGACTGAGATACTTAAAAAAAGTTTTATAACGAAACTCTTGGATCACCGAGGTACAGTACCAGCAACCAAACAAAGTCAGAGGATCCAAATGGCTGTCTCTCATTTGAAACCTCCATTGTTCGCATGTCAATAAATGCAAACCTAGCACACCATCAACAGGGAAGAGACAGCACGCAGCAGAGGACACATACCCCTCGTGGATGAACTCCTCCAGTGCAGCGCATTCCGATACCAGCTGGGGTAGTTCGCTCCGCAGAGCCACATAGGACAGGATGGGCAGCAGATCGTCAGCACCACTGAGGGAGAAGGGAAAGAGAAGAGCACTTGGTACATTCATCTGGCTGCTAGGTCCGGACTTCTAGATCACCTCTCATCACAGCCTGGAGGTGGTCGTTTAACCCAGGACTACAGCACAGCTCCCTTCCGGGGTACCAAGGGGCAACCATTTCAAAACAGAGGCCCAACTATGCAGCAGGTCCCGTGGAAGAGTTACCGCTAAACCCTGACAATAGAAATGGGAGTTAGGCCAGACTGAAAAGGCCACACTGCTTCTACTCTTCCCTCCCTCCCCCAAACACAGTAACGGGATCTTCAAAAGCAAGAAGTCAAGATCTTGAGTTTAACCTCTTACCCAAAAGACGTTGTCTCAAAACACATAGCATTTCCTGTCCTGGTGCTTGGACGCTGCACTGGAATGTCTGGTCCAGTGGGAAGAGCACCAGCTAGTAATTTTGCAAAATCATTGTGAGTAGCGTTTTGATTTTTGCTGCACAACTCTCATTCATTCTCTTGTACCAACCAGATCAGGATGTAATGAGCTTGTGTACCTAACCAGAACAGTCTACAGAAAACGGTTGAGCTACTAGGGAAGGGCGTGCACTGGTTTAAACACTCAATTAAGACTTTTTCAATGTGAAATAACAAAAAATGAAAATTATTTTTTGATAAATCATTTAACACACTCCTCTCCAACTCATACAAATGGGAAATGTACAGTCTCCAACATGTGGTGGGGAGTTTAGCTGTTTTAACATTAGCTGTGCAAACATACTATTAACGTTTGTCAGCATCTGCCTGCAAGCTTTCAACTAAGGTTTTACACTACAGCTTTGTTTAGTCACATGAGTGTTAATTAAATTTACAATTAAACTAGTGTCAAAGCAATGCCCCCATCCTGTCCACCCCACCGAGCGGGACCCCAGTGCGAGCCCTGAGGAATGACTGCATGCATGCATGTAGGTGAATGGTCTCAATCTGACAATGGGTGACTGAAACCTTAGGGTCAATAGTGCACAGCAGCTCCTCACAATCTTAAAATACAGGCTTACCGAGCAACTGGATGAGGCCCTGGCAATTAGATATCTGATACTCTCATCAATTAGAATGGTCCTATTCTTTCTAAATATGTGATAATCCTTTGGAACAAATAAGTTATTTTTCCATGTTTGGTAATGATGCTTGTAAGAAACTCAATGTGTTGCTCATTGGGTGCAATTTTATCTTTAAAGAAAACATGCACTGTACCTTTTGCCACAAAATGTCAAATTGTCGACAGAACCTAGGACACAGTTTAACAAGAATTCAACTCAAGTGATATTTGAGATCAAGGTTTTAGTGATGGTAGTGGCAAGCTAGAGATGGACAAAGTGGAGCAAATTTTATGAGCTTCAATACTCAAAGACTTCTTGAAGCACACAGGAAAACATTTGGCATGCACACATAAAATGTCTCACATGTAGATCTCTCATTTAAGGTCTTTATTTTGATGTTCCATCTAGTTTTTCATTGACAAAATAAGTGTGCGACCAACACCTATAATCAACTCTGGGACCTGAGATTTTGAGCTACGGGTCAGAATCCAGTGCATCTCCACACTCTGCACTTTTGACTTGGCTACCGCATTTATTGCTCTAAAATGTTTTTAGTCTGTACGTACTGTCAAACTCATACATACATACATAAACTCCTCTGTCCAAAACCTGCTAGCCTGTGATATGTTTTAAATGCAATACTGCAAAACACCCAGCTGCAGGAACGGAGATACAGACTAACGGGGTGTTAACACAGCTGTAAAATGATACAACTGCAGTTATGCAAAGGAAGTGCTGCTTTCCTGGGCTTGGACCAGCTTGCCTTATGCCGACAACAACCAGGGGATGAGTACAGTCACCCAGAAATCCACATGTCCGGTGCAGCAGGGAATGCTTTAAGGGCAGAGACAGGGGAGATGAAAATGATACTGGGAAAGAGGGATTAATGGACCATAATTCCAGAGGAGGAGAAGTCTTACTGAAAGTAGGACACTACCAGTTTCTAGTTTAGTTCTTTCAGTCAATAGCAGTAAGTACAGTATATTAGTGTGTCCCTTTGAAGAAGTGGAATGTGTACATAGGCCATTTTTTTCCAGCCTGGAGATCCAGTAAACCTAATCACAAATGAAAACCACTAGCCCCATCTTGCAAAGATGTTTATGCTTTTCATTTCACTGTTTTTTTTTTGTAAAAACATTTCCAGGAAAGTGTTCATCTTGCCAAAATAACACTTCTGAAGTTAATCTTGCCGGGTCCAGTGATCATTAGACTGGTTTGGCCGTTCAGATTCTGGGCTGCTCTGAAGTGGATACTGAAAGAAAGCCAGAGAGCAAGTGGAACCGAAGGGGACAAAAATGTGCGGAATAATGGTAGTTTATAATATCATTTAATAAAAAAGCAGAAAAGCAGGCCTGAATAACTGAAACCACCGAACACTGGAACACAGCATGCTCATTTAAACTGCACTCCACCACACCAAGCGTGTGGGCAGCGAGGCAAGATCTCATGGGACGAGAGCCTGACAGGCTCCGGCAAAAACCGCTCACACAGTTTACTACACCAACGCGTCCCCATCACAGGCACGCAAGGCAGGGAGGAGCGTTTCCCTTTAAGCTCTCAAAACGGCCGCACGGTTTTTATGAGATGTGACGTTTGTCAAGAACGGACCAGCGCCAGTACCAACACCACACAACTGGTATCTGTCCGTCCGGTATGATCCATTCCTTCTAACCAGAGGAAACTGTGGATCCCATAAGAAAACTATGCAGAAACTACGGCAGCTGCATGGTCACATTAAACAGAACTCCAGTCTTGTATTTATCAAAAGACAGATTAGGAGGCACTTTAACACTTTAAGTGTGAATCAGTAGGCGAGGTACGTTAGGACCAGAACCTCCTCATAAGCCCTGTTTAACCAATGTTGCTTAACATCCTTCGTATATCCTTGTGTTCATATATGCTTTTATCCAACACTTGCAGCATTCGCAGCCCACAGAAATGGTATGCTTTAAAAAAAGCAATCATCTGGGTACCATGCAGAACCACTCTTCACACATTAGATCACGGACTTGAGGACCTCCGGATGATTCTCCCTGCTTTCCCAGCTTTTCACAGCAAGAACTCTTCATGCTGACATATCAGCACCAATCCACAGCACTGGCCATGCAATTTCAATGAAACAATTTTGCAGAAGGGTATCAAGGTTACTTCCTTTCCTTAAAGGAAACTTCATACATTCTGTAATCATAGGCCACTGGGGTGGGTTTAGTACAAAGATGTAAAGATTTGAAAAGTATATACCCTCTTCAATACTTGAGTAAAACTTTGTGAAAATATCTTCCATCAAAAGGAGGAGATGAAGGTGGGCCGTACACAAGATTTGCAGAGGCTTCGGTTTACCAGTGGAGTTCAGAGTCTTATGCAACACTAAGAACATAAGAATATTCAGGCTGAAAAAGCAGCAGTGCAGGGGAAGAGGAGTGAACTTATTTAGTTACATGCAGCTTATTACTTCAAGCACCTCATCCAGTCATTTCCTTAATAATTGCAAGCAATTTCCTCCTAGTGTGCCATATGATTTTTTTTTGTTGAGAAAACTTAACAGAATTAGAAAAGGATCATCATTACATGCATCTAATGAGCTAGTGAAGAGATCAATATATATATATACACACACACACGTACAGACTGTATACTCAACTGCTTTATGACAACTTCAACTTGATAAAAATGAAAACTGATGTATGCTTACAGCAGAGAAACTAACCATCCAAACCTTTATTTCAGACTGAGAAATTGAGCATTTGAAACAACATGATTTTTTCTGCTGGATTGCCTTCCAGGACATGTTAATGATACTTGGCAAATGTCATCATATTTTGTAAAACAAGTGCCAAGTTTTACAGTCTGAGTAAAGTGCACAATTGAAAGGAGTGTGAAAGCCGTATAAGACCTGTGCTTTCACTTTCTTAAAACAATGCATTGTCAGTCAAGGAAGAACTGCAGGGTCAACTATCACCTGTTTATTTTCCACTAACTGATCAAAGCGCAGTTTTTCTTTATTGCATAACCTACTCAAGTTAAATGTCAGCTGCAGTGCTTTTATTTAGCATTTTTAGAAAACTCTTTTCCCAGAACACCCAAATACCATGACAAATGTCTGTAATGAGAATGATGTTTGGGCCCTTACTCATTCGCACATATACTGTATGGTCCAATTATATATTGAATAGACACACAGTGAAAACAGCATGTGTAAATATTAGCTATTGATGTAAAACATCAGTACTGTTTCTAAGTATATTAAAATACAAAGCTGTTTTCAGAAAAGTCCAGGTGCTTAAATGTTAGTTTTTTTAGTTAATATTCTACACTTTTTAGTGTAGGAAAATGGTGTTGAGAAGATTAAAACATCTAAAGATACATCTAAGAAGATAATCATAAACAGGTTGTTCAATCTCTTTTCCTAGTTTTTGTTACCTTTATATAGTGTCTTGCACTTGTTTAAATTTATATGTCATCTGCACAGCATCTGTACAGTCTGCCATTTTTAATGGCTTCAACTAACCTTGTTTCAACCAATACTCTTTTTTCAGTATCAGCAAATTAGGAAGTTGTGAAACTAATACCAAAATCGATTGATCTAAATCAATCAGATCCTAATACACCTGTGGTATTTCACCAAATATATCATGCCAATGAGAGCATTTATACTGTCTCCTGATAAATACGTTTTCATCAAAGCACATCAATGCCTACCACCTGCAATTTTAGAAATAATACACACGAAAATGAAATTAATTTTAAACACGTAAGATGGGCTGGATGGCTTTTGCAAGTTTTTAAACTAAAATCAAGCACCATGCAACACATCTGCAGGTAGCACTTCATTGTGCAAATTACACTTTCAGAAGCCATTCCATTCACTCCATATCGTGGTACACAGACTTCCCGAAAACATCACTGAAAATGGGAAACCACTAACG